AGAGTTTAGGGTTTAGGGCTTACAGGGTTTAGGGCTTAGGGTTTAGGGCCTATAAGCCATGAAAACATCAAGTTCACAAATCCCTACGCTGTCAGGCAGGCGCAGCTTCAGCGAGCTCAACCGTCGGATCCACCGGCCTGCCACGCTGAGGCGGAGGGTAAGGGGGGACTACAGGGTTTGGGGTTTAGGGCTTAGAGTTTAAAGTTTAGGCTTTTCCGCTTAATGCTTTTAAAGTTTAGGGTTTAGGGTTTAGGGTTTAGGGTTTGGGAGGGTGGGGGGAGGGGGTGCAAACCCCGACACTCTCATGTGAATCCCTTTAGGGGTACATGCCGTCCCTAAGGACAGGAGTCCAAATAGGCGCTTCACCCCCAATAGAGGGCCTCAGTATTCAGTATCGATCTTTCATGATGTTTTCTTGTGTGGGAGTGTTTACTCGGGAACAGGATGTCCGTATCGGGAACCCGCAACAGTAACGGGGACCCATCCCGTGACAGCAACCACCAGTTCCTGTAACCCTAAACCCTGAACCCTATAACCCTATAACCAAACCCTAAAAACCTATAACCCCCTAACCCTATAGGCCTATAACCCTATAACCCTACCCTATAACCTTATAACCCTAAACCCTATAACCCTATAACCCTATAGCCCTAAACCCTATAACCTTATAACCCTATACCCCCAAACCGTATAACTCTATAACCTTATAACCCTACAGCCCTAAACCCTATAACCTAAACCCTATAACCCCATAACCCTATAAGGCCTATAACCCAATAACCCTATAACCCTAAACCCTATAACCCTATGACCCTGAACCCTAAACCCTATAACCTTATAACCCTATAACCCTAAACCCTATAATCTTATAACCCTATAACCCCAAACCGTATAACTCAATCGCCTTGTAACCCTATAACCCGAAACCCTAAAGCCTATAACCCTAAACCTTATAACCCCATAACCCTATAAGGCCTATAACCCAATAACCCTATAACCCTATAGCCCTATAGCCCTATCAACCTAAACCCTATAACCCTAAACCCTAAACCCTATAACCCTATAACCCTAAACCCTGTAACCATAAACCGTATAACCCTGAACCCTGTAACCACAAACCGTATAACCCTAAACCCTATAACCCTAAATCCTATAACCTTATAACCCTATAACCCTATAACCCTAAACCCTATAACCCTATAACCCTAAACCCTGTAACCATAAACCGTATAACCCTAAACCCTATAACCCTAAACCCTAAACCCTATAACCCTATAACCCTAAACCCTGTAACCATAAACCGTATAACCCCAAACCCTATAACCCTAAACCCTATAACCCTATAACCCTAAACCCTGTAACCATAAACCGTATAACCCTAAACCCTATAGCCCTAAACCCTGTAACCCTATAACCCTAAACCCTGTAACCATAAACCGTATAACCCTAAACCCTATAACCCTATAACCCTATAACCCTAAACCCTGTAACCACAAACCGTATAACCCTAAACCCTATAACCCTAAATCCTATAACCTTATAACCCTATAAGCCTATAACCCTAAACCCTATAACCCTATAACCCTATAACCCTAAACCCTGTAACCATAAACCCTATAACCCTAAACCCTATATCCTTATAACCCTATAAGCCTAAACCCTATAACCGTATAACCCTATAACCCTAAACCCCATAACCTTACAACCTTATAACCCGATAGCCCTAAACCCTATAACCCCATAACCCGAAACACCATAACCCTAAACTCCATCACCCTAGTAACACCCCCCAGGCCGCCCCTCGTAACAGGAACCAGTGCGGGGCTCCACCCTCAAGCGAAAGTTGGGTTCGGGGTTTGGGTTTTGGGAGTAGGGCTTTTGGGGTTTTGGGTTTAGGGTTTAGGGTTCAGGGGTTTAGGGGTTTAGGTCAGGGGTTTGTGGCATGGGAGGTTAAGTTTTAGGGCTTAGGGTTCAATTAGGGTTTAGGGCTTAGAGTTTCGGTTCTAGGCCCAAGCCGCCCATGCCTTCTAAATCTGGAACACTGGGGACACTCAACTTCCACGAAGTGAAGACGGGCTCAATAAGCTTTGAGTATGCTTGAATAACTGGTACCACTATCCGCTCATAGCCCCGTTTCGAATTGTTCATTACATGGTATACTCCCTCAACCCCCCTTCTAGTACTTCCTGTGGGCCTTATACCCCGCTGTGCAAGCTTGATGCACACCCATATTATTGCACAGGTATCCCTAAACCGAAAAATGGCCACATCCTAAATCTAAGCTTATAAGCTTGAGCTGCAGAGACTCCAAAACCCCTTAACTAAGGAATATACCTTAAATTACAATAGGAACCCTCATATGATTTAAGGTATATTCCGTAATTCCCTTATAGAACCCTTATAGATCCCTTTAAGGAACCCCTATAGGAACCCTTTAGGGTATATTCCTTACTTAAGGGGTTTTGGAGTCTCTGGGTAACGTCCGAAGGCGCCTTTGGAGGCTCTACAGACGGTCTCGACATCGCCGAGCGCAGAGCTCTTTGGCACAGACATTTGTGGATTCCTTAAGGGAGGGGTTTCTATGGGGGTATATAACCCAGTAATCCCCAATTCTCCCTAGTACTCCCTTAGGTTCCCTATAGCACCCTAAGGATCCCTACGGCCCTCCCCCCTTGAGCCACCCTCCCTTACGGATGCTATAGGACATGGGTTGCCAACCGTCTTTCGATACAGATCAGTATACAGGGGTAGCTTGATATCAGGTCAGGGCAACCAACCAATAGGGAGGATCATGGAAGCATCGACGCAGGTTGGCAAGTTATGACTTGTGATTTCTTACAGCCCAGATGATCCTACTGACGACCTCACTATACTCGTACCTTCCGACTCAGCTTTCACGGCGGGCACCAAGCGAAACACAGGAGTCTCAACCCCATAAACGTGCTACGGCCCACAACCCCAACCGGGGTCCACGCCCCCAATCCTGCCCCCTGCCGGATCTACTCTAGGGTCGAGCAAATAGGGTTTAGGGTTTAAAGTTTAGNNAAAGTTTAGGGTTTAGGGTTGGTTTTCTCTCGAATAAATAGTTATACTATTCCTCATGCTTGCCGATGAGATCCGGTGTTGAAAAATGGCTCAAAGCCCTATTCCTAGCAGACCCTAAATACCTTGTAGAGCCCTGAAAGGAGCCCATGAAGGAACCCTACTCACAGTACCAAGACATCTGCACTACGCAGATTCTGATTTCGCAAGCCCTAAACCCGAAACGCCTTTATTAGATTTTCTAAGCCCTGAACCCTAAACCCTA